GCTGCGGCTTTTACAAATTCTATTCAAGCAGCACTCAGCAAAATTATTGTCAACTTTAATAACTTTCGATTTTAATTTATTTATATTTTGTTACTTTTTTGGTGGTGTAGACAAAATTTCAGAGTGAGAGTGCATACAAACGTACATACATATGTATGTAAATATCACCGAGAGCCCACTTTGTCTCCACACGACAGTCAAACGCTTTACGCGTTCCACCTTAACTTAAGTTTTGTTACGGGTTTGCTTACTTTTAACTTTTATTCATACGTATACATATGTACATACGTATACTCGTACATACAAACATACTGTTTGCATTGCAATTTAAGGCGAAGTGCGTCAATATTTGTTTGATATTCAAGCTCTGATTATAGATTTGTTTGGCCGGCTACCGGGAAACGTCATTAATATGTATGAAAACGTGCAACGCATGCGGTTAATTATTACATATGTATGTATGTATGGATATAGATAGATAGGTATGTATACATACATGAGCGCTGGTGCTAAAAGGGTGCATGTACATATACATAAGTACATACAAATGTACATTAGACCGTACCACNGATTATAGATTTGTTTGGCCGGCTACCGGGAAACGTCATTAATATGTATGAAAACGTGCAACGCATGCGGTTAATTATTACATATGTATGTATGTATGGATATAGATAGATAGGTATGTATACATACATGAGCGCTGGTGCTAAAAGGGTGCATGTACATATACATAAGTACATACAAATGTACATTAGACCGTACCACCGTTCCCACGACAGTCGGGTCTACGTAACCGGAACGACCCACATTTATATTTGGCCAAGGAATGTCACTCCAGCAACACTCCCCAAAAACTCTTTGGGGAGCTTGTTTGCTGCTACAACAACAACAACATAAGACCGGGGTATTCGGGGTCAATGGACTTTGGTACAAAAAAATATTCTCCTCGAGAAAAAAAACTATACATCATATCTTAAGATCCCACTGTAAATGCCACAGATACGAGGAAAAATGTAAAACGCGACTCCTATGTTCGACCTTACAAAAAAAAAAAAATTGGGATTGCCTTCGAATCCAAATACTTCCTTAGCAAAAGTTTAGTGATTTTTGATGAGTTTTTATTTCCTGACATTAGGGTGGTACGTCCGGGCGGTAGCAACTGTGATCTGGTTGGTACGTATTGGGTATTTGAGGTCATTGAACTTCGGAATAAAGAATTGCCGTCTCGTGACGAAAACCTCGATATATCGAACCTTGTTATCCGACTGTAAATGAAGAAGATATATCGAAAAATGTAGTTTTTTCGAAAATACTGTAGACTCAGGGGTGTACGGCGACCGGTACGGTCAAATGTACATACATACGGACATATATTAGTGTGCGCCTTATTTTTCAACTTTGACTAACAAAGTATCTAAGAGTTCACCTAGAAAAAATTTATTGGTTACAAAACCGCTTTCTGCGAAAAATGTTCAAATTCGGATAACGAAAAGATTAAAATAAACTTGCTTTAATGATTTATGTATCGACTCTTTTTATTTTTTATTTGCCCAACTTCGTGCCCTCTGAAGCGTGTATTTCCGTTAGCCGATTTTGAAAGTTATTTGCAGGGCATGTTTCTATGGCCAAACAAGCCTACCTAGGGGGCTTTGCTTTTTAGTACCTTTAAAAATTATTTTCTCTATTCAAACAAGGCGCACACTAATGTTCATAAGTATATATGTAACGTGCTTTTTATTGCTATAAATGTAATTTTGTTCCTTAAGTAATTACCGTGTCATTGGCATATACTATTTTGCGGTCAACGGGTCAAACTGACATCAAAAGGACATGACTGTTAGCTCCTAACTATAATTTGAGTGAGGTGTGGTGATTATACATACTGCATGTATGTATGTAAAAAAATGTAAAAAGAAAGATTAATTAAAAGAAAAAAGTTAACAAAAAAATAATAGAATATATATATAAAAAGGGAAAAAAATCCGCTTACCGACAATTCGAACCTCGGATCTTTCGAAGGTCACGCCAGTGCTTTGAGCACTCGGCCATTGCGACTGTTGGAGCAGCGAGTGCAAAATGATAATCATATCGATGGTCCTCTGCAATAACGACACAATTCAAAAAATAAAACCTCCTACTACTGTTAAGTGGGTCTTGTCTCTAATCCTTATCTACTCTATGTCCAACCCTTACTAAAGTAAGTAGTAGATAGATATATAGATAATAAAATGAGGTTTGTACCGCTATTGTGTCCTCCACTCTTCAGAATACCTCCTTTAAACTAAATTCCTGAGAACGTTGAACAATACCTTTGGGGATAGGGAGTGAATGTGCTTAAGCTGTGACCACATTGAGCCTAAACTTCTCTCACATCATCTGCAGACTGCATCACGCTCGGTGAGGATGTGTCCTCTACACTTATAGAGTCGCAAAACCGGCAAGGGTCTCTCGACCATTCCCCAGCATGTATAGACATCCTCTCAGCCTGCAGTGTCCTGTGAGGTTACCTGTTATTACTCCAAGCTTCTCCTTTGAGAGGTCAAATATACTTTGGAATCTCCTTTTGTTATACCCTCTTAGTAAACTCTTTGCCTGCCGCATTCCTGACGAACTCTACCTCCTAAGCTCCTCTCTAAGAGTGTTGGGACCCACTCCTAGGAAGGGCGAGACAGCCAACCGCCTCGTTATCCTCCACTCCCTTGTGGCCAGGTACCTACGCTAATTTAAGCTTCTCAATGCACTTATGGACCAGCGACAATTTGACCTCATAGGATATGGGACGTTGAGTACCGCCTGACTATCACTTGGGATTATGATTCTCTAGTTTCTATACCCTCTACTTATGATTGTATCCGCACTAGGGGGATTCAGAAAATTTTAATTTTTTTTTCCTCGGAACCATGCTCAAAAGTTTCGTTTAGACGCCAAAATAAGTCTCAGCAAATATGAGACCTTAATGTTAATAAACGCACTTTTCGATTTCCCATAAGAATAACACAGGAAAAATTGTTTTTTTTTGCAATTTTTCGTTGTCTATGGGTGTTTTGAGATTTACCAGATATTTTTAATGTTTTTTTAAATATGTAGCTTTTCGGATTAAACAAGAAACTTTTTCTCGTGACTTGGCAATTTTTTCCAGATTTTTAAGTTTTTCGAAATTTTTTTTGTGGACTTTGCGGGTTTTTATGAACTAATCTGATACAAATTTGGGAGTTTTGGAACTTTTTTCAAGAAGTTTCCATCAGTTTAGACTTACGCCATTTTTTTTTGGATTTCAGGACCTTTTGGCATTTTTTAATATAACTCGGGGTTTTTTCGGTCTTGTTTGTTCCGAAAAAATGTTTGATTTCTTCAGGCGAGTTTCGGCATATTTTCAAGAGTTTTCGAATTTATTCGTTAGGATTGTTTTTTGGAACTTAGACACAATTTATTCTGAGTCTTGTTTTCTGTGGTTTTATTTTGGCAATTTTGGGTGTTTTTCGGGACTTAAAATTTTGTTTTTTTCACAGTTTTCATGGATTTAGTATTGTACGAAGTTTGTGATTTTTTGGTACGTATAACTTGTGACTTTCTGGGAACTTTCTGGAATGCTTTTGGTATAATTCGATATTTTCTTTGGTATTTTTCGGTATTATTACATGACTTTTGAGAAAAATTTCGAGTACATTTGAAAATTATTCGAAACTCGAAAGTATTTTTCAAAATTACGGATTTTTTCCGTTTGTTTTTTGTTCAATTTTAGAGATTTTTTTCGTACCTTACCGGGTTTTTAAGAATTTATTTAAAATTTTTAGTTATTCGATTTATTTTCTTATTGAATTTCTCGAAGTAACTAATTTTTTTTAGAATCCATGACCTTTTGGAACTTCCTGGGATACTTTCAAGTTTTTCATGATATTTTTTTTTTAGTCTTTGGGGAAAATGCTGCATTATGTTAAGCAATAAACAATTGATATTTGGGGAATTATTTTCGAGCCTTCGAGCCAGTTATAGAGATTTTTCTCGAACTGTCCTCAAAACAATCACTAACAATCTCGGCATATGAACATTAGTTAAATTTTCTTACCACTTTGAAAAATAAATGCATATTCCTATATACAAACTAAAATACGCCTATCCTCCTTTCAGATCACTACCAGCTCTGTGCTGCACATCAAAGTGCTTGACCACTCCAGTTTTCGCAAGGACACCTTGCTAGGCGAGCGCACCATCCACTTGGCGCACGTGCTGCAACAATTCAATGGCAGATGCGAATTCCTTGAACTTACAATGGATCTGATAGCTACTTCCAAATCAGATAATCGGCAAACAAAAATCGGTGAACTTGTCGCAGTGCTCAACGGACTCAAGCTGGACATGCCCGGCGCGGTGCAACAAAATGGTAATGGCGTATCAATGCTGCCACCTCCCAACGAAGGCGCTGTGTTGCCGCCTGCTGCCGGTCGCAGTTACATGATACAAGGTGGCATACGTGCGCGCATGCGCGTGCGCAGTATCGAAAACGGCATGCTAGCCGCATCAGTAGCTTCGGCTGGGAGTGGAGGTAGCGTGTCACACATGGCAGTTGCCGCCGGCGGTGGTTCACGTTCGCCCATAGCCAATGGCAATTTGGAACGCTGCAGCAGTGGTAGTTCACAAAATGGTGCGGTGCGACGTGCTGCCCCGCCACCACCCGTTTGGGAACAACAACAGCCAATGCCACAAACACAGACGCAACATGTGGCGCTACAACAACAGCAGCAATTGCAAGCACAACAACAACACCAATCACAAATGCAGGTGCAGCGCATACCGTCGATGAATGGCGGCGCAGTGGCGGTGAATGCTGCCGGCGTGCAAGTGCGTCCAATGTCGCAAATGTATGCGAATGGTGGGGTTAGTGGTCAGCCATTACCGCTGCCACTGCCGTCACAGCAACAGCCGCAAACACAGCAGCAACTAATGGATAGTGCGCTGATGAGCTCGGCAGGCGATCAGGCTGCATTGTTANCGATGAATGGCGGCGCAGTGGCGGTGAATGCTGCCGGCGTGCAAGTGCGTCCAATGTCGCAAATGTATGCGAATGGTGGGGTTAGTGGTCAGCCATTACCGCTGCCACTGCCGTCACAGCAACAGCCGCAAACACAGCAGCAGCTTATGGATAGTGCGCTGATGAGCGCGGCAGGCGATCAGGCTGCATTGTTAGCGCAAGCGCCAATGCCGGTATCCAATGTGACTGATCAGCAGTTGCAAGTGAGTAGCAGTAGTTTTTAAACATTACTTTTCTTTTGTACTTTAATTAAATGCATTTTTTAACGGTAAACACAGGCCGCCCAAGCGGACGATGAACCGCTGCCTGCTGGCTGGGAAATACGCTTCGATCAGTACGGCCGCCGCTATTACGTCGACCACAATACGCGTTCCACCTACTGGGAGAAACCGACGCCACTACCGCCCGGTTGGGAGATACGCAAAGATCCACGCGGCCGTGTCTACTATGTGGACCACAATACGCGCACAACCACCTGGCAGCGACCGAACAGCGAGCGTCTTATGCATTTTCAACATTGGCAAGGACAGCGTGCGCATGTCGTTGCACAGGGTAATCAACGTTTCCTCTACTCACAGCAACAACAACAGCCTACAGCGGTGACGGCCACCGTGACGCAAGACGATGAGGATGCCTTGGGACCGCTGCCCGATGGCTGGGAAAAGAAGGTGCAATCGGATAATCGTGTATACTTTGTGAATCACAAGAATCGCACGACACAGTGGGAGGACCCGCGCACGCAGGGTGAGTCGCGCATAAAAGCTATAGTAATAACATTCTAGTGTCAAATGATCTCTAAATTCTCGCTCGCTTTTGCTTTCTCTCGCCAGGTCAAGAAGTTAGTTTAATGAACGAGGGTCCACTACCGCCCGGCTGGGAGATACGCTATACCACTACAGGTGAACGCTTCTTTGTCGATCACAATACACGTCGCACCACCTTCGATGATCCACGTCCGGGCGCACCCAAAGGCGCTAAGGGTGTGTATGGCGTGCCACGCGCCTATGAGCGTTCCTTCCGTTGGAAGCTCTCACAATTCCGCTACCTCTGCCAGAGTAATGCTTTGCCGTCACACATTAAAATAACCGTGACACGACAGACGCTTTTCGAAGATTCATACCACCAAATTATGCGTTTGCCTGCCTATGAGCTGCGACGTCGCCTCTATATCATTTTCCGTGGTGAGGAGGGTCTCGACTATGGTGGTGTGTCGCGTGAATGGTTCTTTTTGCTATCACATGAGGTGCTCAATCCCATGTATTGTCTCTTCGAGTACGCCAACAAAAACAACTATAGTTTGCAAATCAATCCGGCCTCGTATGTGAATCCAGATCACTTGCAGTATTTCAAATTTATTGGCCGTTTCATAGCGATGGCATTGTATCATGGTCGTTTTATATATTCCGGATTCACAATGCCCTTCTACAAGCGTATGTTGAACAAGAAATTAACTATAAAAGACATTGAAACCATCGATCCGGAGTTTTATAATTCGCTTATTTGGGTGCGTGACAATAATATTGACGAGTGTGGATTGGAGCTTTGGTTTAGCGTCGACTTTGAGGTGCTTGGACAGATAATACATCATGAATTGAAGGAAAATGGCGAAAAAGAACGAGTGACGGAGGAGAACAAAGAGGAATATATAACACTCATGACTGAATGGCGGATGACGAGGTAAGGGAGTTAGATTACTTTGAATGTGAGAGCAGTTAATGGAAATTTTGTGTGAAAAGCAGAAATAAAGGCTACGAAAAGATTGAGGTAGCGTTAAGAAAATTCAGAAAATGTATAAGTAAGAAACAAAAAAAAAAAACAAGTTTTGAAAAAAAAGTATGAAAGAAAAACTAAGTATTGGTGAGTTAGTTTTACTGAACTGTAGAAATCACAGGCCACTGACAGAAAAGCCACACCGAGAAGATCGCTCACTGATCTCAAACTTTATTATCTAGAAATATTTCTCTTGTGATTGGGCTTCAAAATTGCAATTCTCAAGCCACATACTTTGTGGTTCACTCCCTATTTGACCTAAGACCAGTACAGGTTCATAGGTGCCGCAGGTCTTTGCACATGTTGCTTCTAACCGACTCAGAAAAGTGTAGATCAACGCTGCTGCTAGCTGTTTTCCTGGAATTAAAACCGATTACTAGGGTTCGCCGTTCCAAACAGTGTTAGATCAGCGAAGCAATAGCCGTAGGTCGGATAAAACCCGAGTATTTAAAATTCTTAGAACCGACAGGTATTGAAATGAACACTTTAAGAGAACTAGCTCAGAGTTTCTTTAAAAGATGCTAATCTTTAAGCAGTGTAGGCTGTAGAATTATACTAATTCATAATACCAAACAAAAAATCCATTTCCAGAGGTATTGAGCAGCAGACAAAAACGTTCCTGGAAGGCTTCAACGAGGTGGTGCCGCTCGAATGGCTAAAGTATTTCGACGAACGTGAATTGGAGCTCATATTGTGCGGCATGCAAGATGTAGATGTAGATGATTGGCAACGGAATACGATTTACAGGCATTACAATCGCAACTCCAAACAAGTGATGTGGTTCTGGCAGGTGAGTTAGCGTCTCGTAAAGAAAAAGTGCAAATATTTTCAAACATATCCGCAAATATCTAATATTCCAACTCTTTTTTGACACCAGTTTGTGCGCGATACGGACAATGAAAAGCGTGCACGCTTGCTGCAATTTGTTACGGGTACGTGTCGTGTGCCCGTCGGCGGTTTTGCTGAGTTAATGGGCTCCAATGGACCACAACGCTTTTGCATTGAAAAAGTGGGCAAAGAAACATGGTTGCCGCGATCGCATACCTGCTTCAATCGGTTGGACTTGCCGCCATATAAGAGTTACGATCAGCTAGTGGAGAAATTGACATTTGCCATTGAAGAGACTGAAGGCTTCTGCCAGGAGTAGAGCGGAAAGCGGCGTGGAGTGACCATTGTGTACAAGGGTGTAAAGAGGACGTCGAAGCAGTTGTGGGCGGCACTCTTGTTGAGTGTGTGGTGTAATTGGCAACCAAATAAAGGTAGCTGGAAAGAAAAAGTTATATTTATGTTTAATGTTATGTTGTAATTGTTATGCAACGAAATTCGCGCGAACTAATGTATGTAGTGTTACAGACATTTTTATAGTTTAGTTCTTTTTTTTATACAAACTTAAAATACCTTATAAATCGACTTGCTTGTGTTTGTTGCGATTTTTTCATTTGAGCTAAATTTTCATTAATGCGCATCGCGGTTGTTATTGCTATGCCTATTTTGAAATGCATATCAAGTTTTCTTTAATTTTTTGAGGAATAACGTAAAAAACATAAAACAACTATAAGCGCTTGTTTACTTGTATTAGTTATACATAAATACGTATATATATATATTAGAAATATTATTACCGTTTTAGAAATTTGCAATATGTATATACATAAACGTATTTGTGTGTGTATTCGTAAGAGTTTTTGCGCATAAACGAGTTTAATTGAATTATATTGTAGAAACATAAATACATAATATATATACATATTTGTGTGTATGTAGGCAGATGTTGTGCGCTCAAGCTTATGCACATATGTAGTATGTTTGTACGTGCAAGTGTCTTACCTATGTATCAGTAACGTTGCCGTCTTGCAGAGAGCATATTCTCCTTCCTAACTTTAATTTAATTTCGTTCATTAGCATACATTCATAGATATATATTTTTTTGTGTAAATTCTATTAAATTGGTTTAATTTAATTTTAAATTTTGTATATAGCACACAACTAATAAATATATACATACATATATTCATGTTAATTTACTTACATACATACGTTTAGTAGCTCGTTATGGTACATACATTTATGCATATACGTACACACAGTGGTGGTCAAAACATATGGCATAGAAACGATTCTTTTACAAAGTCAGGCAGGCAAAAACTGTGTGTCTATTAGTTAAGTTTAATAGCTTAGATTTTTCATCAAAAATTTCAATTCCAACAAAGAAGTTAACGTAAATAATAATTCAATGGTTAAAACATGGCACAAAAACCAAAATGATGAAATTTAATTTTTTAATTAATAAGTAGCTTTCCATGCGTCAGGTAACGTATGTTCGAAGTTATTACTGTGTTGGTAAAGACAAAGAAATCGTTTCTTTTATTCGTTGTTGTTGTGTGCTTCCTAAATAGTTTTTGTGGAGTGATGCTGAAGTTGCAGTTCGCCAGCCTTATTCCTGCAGTAGAAAAACATCGTCTTTATGAAGTAGGGCATTTAAAGTTTTTTATTTAGATACTAGTCTTCTTAAAACAGCTACTACTACTGCTGTCAAATATGATATATTTAGACACCTCGCAAAAAAAAAACACTTTTCAGTTAAGTTTTCATATACTTTTTGCCAATTTTTACTTGTTACGTGTTTCCACTAAGAAGTTAGTGGTGCATTTGGTAAGCGGCATGCTTGTGAGGAGGCCTTTAACAGGCGACAGCACCTATTTTTCGTAACGACTCGGAACTGAAGATTTTTGATAATGTCGGATAAAACAGTAAACGTTTTGTTTTTTGGTCTTTTTCATAGTGTCTGTGTCGTCTGTGCGGCGAGTACTTTTTCGTTCACTGAAAATCCCTTTTCGCTTTTAATCGAGGGAAAAAATTATAATTGTTGTAATTTCGTTTAAGGTCATTGGATTGGAAATTTTTATTGGCAATTTTTTTTCTCGATCTCCCGCTATCCCGAGCCAGAAAAAGACGAATTAGTTTTTTTCTGAAATAGTAACCCAATTTGTAAACTAAGCGAGAAAATTTGCTGCAAAGTAGTGGCATGTCTTAAGCAAATAGTAGTTTATGTACATTTCAAAGTGCACTGAGACGGCTAAATTTTATTCTTAAAAAAGCTATAGCAAATAAGCTGTTGGTCAGGTATATATGGAAATTAAAAAAAAAAAAACAGATGTAGTTCTATATATTTTGACCACCACTGTATATGTATGTATATAAACATATGCATATATGTATGTGTAGCATTTAAGTAAGCAAAATCAAAGCCTTAAAATTAAGTAACTATTTTAATGAAATTATTGGCAAAAGACATTTAGCAGCCGCAAATTTAAATTGCGCAAAATTTTAAAATTGAAAGTCAAAAATAAAAAATGGCAATTAAAATATGTTTAAAGACATTACTAGTATGGTAGAGCATCTAATGTTCGTAAAGTAAGGGAAAAACATTAAATTAAATAAGCAACTACATTTATCCAAGGTGGCGCACAAGTAATCAATCTTTTCGTATACAACCGCGTATTTCCTAACTTCAATAGCAAAAAAATATAACTCAATATACATATATCTTATTACGCGATTTTTTTTTTTACCCGTTGCATGCGATTACTTTTGAGCCACACTATGTAACTGACACGAATATGTTAAAAAAATTAGTAAAAATAAACTAAAAAAAAAAATAACCCACACGCCAGCAAACAAATTTAGCAAATTGTGTTAGTAGTGAAAAAACAAACAGCAAAACAAATATAAATATATCGTAAAGAAATTGATACACCGGCAAACCTACTGTTAAGTCTTAACCATATTAAACAAGAAAAAATAATTAAATAATATGCAGAAATGTTTATATAATATACATAGCTATGTATGTATGTGTAGTAGTGTTGTTAAAGAATTTATAGCAGAAAAAAAGACGCAGGCAAACATATGGCAACAACTAAATATTAGTTATCACAAAGTAAATCAACAAAACGAAAATACTTAATGAAGTAAATAACGAAGGAAAAACGATATGCAGCGTGTATGTGTAAGCGAAAAGTATAAAAATTACAAAGTAATACATAATGTAAAACATGGCAGATTCAGTTATTTACTTTTATAATATGCGCATACATATACACTAGGGTAGTGCTTAAAATATCAACACCTACATTTTTTATGGAACACCCCTTTATTTGGTTCTGCGTACAAATTAAAGATAACCACGAAAATTCAAAAAAAAAAAAGGTTTGAAAAAATTTTATTTTATTTTCTAATAGCAAAATCCGAAAAATCTTTTCCTTGAAATCTGATAACTGTTTGACATATTATATAAACTTATTCTAATCAATGCATAAGCTCACTGATTAAAGCCGATTAAAGTCACAATTTTGTCGAATTTTCGTGATTTAAAAAACTTGAACTTTTTCAAACATTGGCAGCAGCGCCCATATTTTTGCTTTTTTAATTTAAAAATTTTCGTGGATCTCTTTATTTTATACTAGAATAAAACAAAGGCGTACTCCATGATGTCGGTATTTTAAGGACCACCTTAATACGCAAACAATTACATATTCAAAAAAATCGCATATACACTGCATACATATATATGCTATAATTTTATGGAAACCTATAGTTTTTATTTAGTTTATAATGAAAAATATATAATTGTATTATACAGATTTAAATAAAGCAGCTAAGCTTTAATGGAAAATCTTGGCATAGAAAGAGAGAGAGAGAGAGAGAAAGAGAGATCAAGTGTGCATGATTCGCAAATCATTTCAACGAGTAAGCGAGCAAAAGAGAGAGAGCGAGAGAGCTAGCGATAATGCTGTTGTAATAAGTTCTAATTAAAATTACAAATAAATAAATAAAGAACTATATTATTAGAAAAAATTTAGACTTGCAGTTTTTAATATCGATTTGTAACAGAGAAGGAATTGTGCTACTTTTTGATGTGTAGACATCTAAGTTCTCGGTATGGAAAAATTTGCGTTAACCCTGCAGAAAACTTGTAATTGCTTCTGGATTGTACCAATGAATATTTCTGGACTAGTTCAGGGCTACTTCAGAACTATTTCAAGATCATTTCGGGACTAGTTCGGCAGCATTGAAGGAAGTGTTCAGGACCATATCGGGAATAGTTCACAACTGTTTGAGGACCATTTTGGGGCTACTCCTGGCACATTTCGAGACAGGTTTAGGACGATTCAGGAAATTAATTTCGCGACAGACCACTTTTAGGCTCCCAGCTCGCTCTACTTCTAGTCCCCAGTCCTTCAAGACGTTGGAACGTAGGCCAGTCTTACATAGCCTCCATATAGGTTGCACAGCCCGGCTCAGGTCTTCTGACAACGCCTTCAGCAACATCAGTATCCTGCGAAAACTAGCTCAAAGCTCACTTCAGTCTGGATGGCGACATCAGTTCTCTTGCAAAATTATACCCTTCTGCTATGGATGCTGCACCATCAGATAAACCACCTTAATTCTCGACCGCAGGGAAGTGAATCTGAAATAATCAGCCTCATTACGTACGTCGTAAATTAGCCTGAAAAGTACGAGTCGACAACATTGGCATTGCCTATTGTCGTGCAGAAATAAGTAGACGACAAAAACTGTCGAAAACTACCGAGTGCTGCCAAGTTTTCCCATTTTAATACGCTACTCGAATCGAATTTTTAGGCAAGGCTATGTACTTTCGGATACGACTCGACTCTCGAAAAACGACGTGCATTCGACACGACACTCGCAATGAAGCGGAATATATGGAGATATTCCTCGGTACTTCGAGTTCATTCGCCGTTGTCCTTTGAGCCTTGGCCAGCACCTAGACAATGGCAAAAAACGGGAATTTCATGAAAATATTGGGTATAGTGACCCGTACTAACTCGCTGGTGGGAGTTAGAGTTACGCCGCAATGGACACTTTTGTAGAGCACTCAATTCTGAAGAAAACCCATCATTGGCCATGGTTATACCATAAAAGACCTCTGAGCTAGAGAATTTTGAAAAAAAACACAATCAAAGTTTACGTGTATCTTGAACAGAAAATCTTTTCAAGCCTTTGTCCAGCACTTAAAATTAGTATTAAGGGCTTAAATTTTCAGGGAACTTGGTTTTAGATATTTCCAACAAAATGTCGATTTTGGAGTCAAAAAAAGGAATAGTCGCCGAAAAAAGCACGGTAGTATGTAAATTAGGTCGGGTCAATTTTTATATATAGATAGATTTTTATATATAGATATTTTCGACTATGCGTCTAAAGCACAGAAGCAAATTTGACGAAGAAATCATGGGTCTAAAATCAAGTTGGAGTTTGCCAAATTGCGAAAATAGGTTTCTTAGCATTTTGCTGTAGTGTCGTAAAGAAGTGCTTAGAAAAAAACATGCCACAAGGACTCTTTTGGTACGAGGAATCCATTTCTACACTAAAATGTTTCTTAAATCTTCCACCAGAGGGCGCAACAGTGAAAAATTTAAACTTTTCTTCGAAGCCTATTTTTGCAATTTGGCAAACTCCAAATTGATTTTAGACAACTGGTTTCCTGGCAAATTAGTTTAGAATTACATTTAGAATTCTCCTAGGCTATATGCGTATATTAAAAAAAATTGGCCCACCCTAATGTACATACATATGTAAATATTTAATGCTATTTTATTGATACATGAACACTTCAAGTCATTTGACATCAAATGCAGAAGCTATGTTAGAATTTACTAGAGCTATTAACTCATAAATGCAACAAAATATGTAGTCATAAATACATTTTAGAATGTGTGAAATACGAATTTCTGAGATAATATTTTAAAATGTTTCAACTAACATTTTAATTAACAAATTTTCATTGGCATGCGTCAAATAAAAATGAATACATATATGTATTCAAAGACATTCCTGTGCGCATAATTAAGGCATACATCTAATTCCATTAGGCTGGCTTACACTCCATTTATAGAAAATCTTTATTTTGTCGGTTTGAATTTTAAATGCCTCCTTCCTTCTTGTGAACTTGGAATGGAGCGAAGGCTGAATTTGCACTCTATATTTTCCTGCGATTGTGTAGATTTTAGGCAACCCTCAATGCTTTGCGATCGCGTTCAAAAATTACCCTAATCTAAGTTTTGTTGAGATATGCCAATGTTTACTATTATGGGAAGTACATTTCCTGAGAGCGTCAACCAGTCAACTAATGGACAAATTAATAAGGCTTGTTATTTATGTGAAAACCTACTTACATAGATCTAAATCTACAAATAATTGCAAATTTCTCACTAATAATTGCACAAGTAAATTGTAATTCCGTACATTTAATTTTCTTCATAACCAAATTGAAGACTCTGATAAATGATGAATCGAACATTATTATTTCCATTGAAATGCACACACTTGCTTTTGGTTCACAAAATACTGTACATGCAGACATATTTATATACATAAGTACTATGTATGTGGAAACATACATGTGTATGCACATTAGGGTGATAACAAAAAAAAAAGAAGTTACAAATTTTAAGCTCGCACTCCATAGGATTTTGTAAATGGAAGATGGAACGTCCGTTTTTTTTTGTTAAAAAAAGATATTTATTTATGAAGTTTTCCATGTATTTTATATGGCCAAAAAAAAAACACTTTTTCGTAGAAATTTTATTGAATTCTTGAAAATCAATATATTTCGATGGGAAACTTTATTTCACATCAGGAGACTCCCAATAAAAATACCTAATTGTTTATTCTATATATATATTTTTAATACTAACGCTGTTTTATGGGTCCCCTATTGCATTTTTCGTGGTTTCTGGGGCCTATTAAAATTATATTAAAAATGTTTAAATAAGAAATTGGGTGTTGTTATTGGAAACAAAGTTTTTCGATCTAAAAATATAAATTTTCACGAATTCTATATAATTTCTACGAAACAGTATAAAATAGATGGAAAACTTCATGGGCTTTAAGGCGGTTCTAAAATCCTAGTGGGTGATAGCTTAACACTTTGAACTTCGCATGTATTTTTTTGGACCACCCTTATGTACATATTTAGGCATATTCATTGAGCGTTCAGTACCAATTAATAACAGTTATATATATATGCAACGACAATCAATTTAAATACCAAGCCCTAACATGTACTGTCAAATGCAGATGCACTTTCATATACTTACAATATACGTACGTACATATACATATGTATGTACATATGATTGTATGTTTGTAAAGATATACTACAATTTAGAACTTTGTATGAACTTCAAGTGAACTGTGTAAAATGAGCAGTAATGAGGGCGTTCATGAAATGAGTTTAATGAGCTGTCTACATACATTCATACTTTTCATATAGACGAAACTAATAAATGCGAGTATACTGACAGGGACTGCCAATAAAAGTTATTTGAAGATGTTGAAGACTCTTAAAAATATTATCTATAGTTAAATGTGAAAGTTGGTTAAAGAGTGTGTGAGTAGATATGTATGTTTGTTGCTCATTTACGCTAGAATGGCTAAACGTATTTGAATAGAATTTGACACGCAGATACGATATGATGTGAATTAACGATAGTTACCACATAATGGAAAAGTTAAAATCAAATAATTACATAATCAAATGAAAGGGGTTCCGAAGCAATTTATTTCGAAAATTTTTTAGTATGGGTTGCCACCAGTTCAAAAAGCTTAAATCAATTTAATTGACAATAAAAATCAAATATTTTAATGGTGTAGGTATCAAATGTCAAATGGGCTCGCTCAGAGAAAGAGAAAGGCGGCAGTTAGTGGTAACATGTGGTGTCTCTCGCCCAGTGCTTTACGTCATGTTGAGAAGGCGCTTGTGGAACTGGCTCGAAAATTGGACTCTTTGAAGTTCTGGAGGACGTTGACACCGTCCCTGAACAGCTTTGTATTTGGTTTAAACTGTTGCCACATTTTCAAAATTTATGTAAATCAAATGTCGTCGCAAAATAATTTTAACAATTTGGCATTCATATGAATTACATTTATACATATAAAGATTATCTACGAATGGTAAGTTTGTATTCATACTGAAACGGCTGAAGTCAAAATTTGACACAAACATTGACAATGTCCTTAGGAAAGGGAAATTTAAATTTTTATAATTCAAAAAATAATATTTTTACAAAAAAATGCTTCTGGTATATTTTTAAAGGTGATATTAAAAAAAGTTTAAATAAAACAAAATACAGAATTTTTTTTTTTAATATTAATTTAAAATCTTATATAATTTATCAATTTTTTTATACGATACCCCTAACTGGTTTTGAAAGATCCCGAAATTTTCAAGAAGCTGTTTTTTAAACATATGATTTTTGAAGTTCGAGAAAAATATATATTAAATTCTAAATTAAGAAAAAATTTAAATTAAACATGAGCTGTTTGACATTACTTTATTTCGAGTTTGCAAGAAAAATCTTAAAAAACAATTATTGAAATTTTCGGGAACTCTTAACATCAGTTTAGGTACTGTACTGGACCAACATTTCTTATAAGTTTTGCTTTTATGATAAATATTTGTTTTCTTTTTTTTATGTATTTAAAAAATGTTTTTACAAAATAATTCGACAAATAAAAACATATTATTGAATACTGAAATTTAAAAAATTGTAAAAGCGAATCCGGAAATACTTTTTTGGATAAACTTTGGAGCAAACTATTGCAAATAAACGTTTTTATTTTTCTTTTTTTTATGTATTTAAAAAAATGTATTTTCAAAATGATTCGGCAAATAAAAACATAGTATAGAATATTGAAATTTAAAAAATTGTAAAAGCGAATCCGAAAATACTTTTTTTGGATACACTTTGGAACAAATTATTGCAAAGTCTAAATTAAAAATGAATTAAAGTTAAATAAAAATTGCTTGACATAACTTTGTTTACAGTTTGTTGGAAA